TTTTTTGCAGTAGTCCAAGTTAGGAACGAAACTGACACGTAAGCTAAAAGTTTTACAAAGTAATGCAAATAAGAAAGTCTGGGGAAGGCGAAAGATAGCCGCATCATTTCCTGTTTATAGAAAGCTTCAGTTAAGTTTTTTTTCTAAACAACTGGTACTATTTTGGCAGTTATACTGAGCCAACCAGCCCCTCTGCTACTCCTTCATTCATTTCTATGGTTTTGGTGCGAATGAGAGCCGTACTAAATCAGTTTTCGCGTACCGGTTTTTCCTAATACATGACTACTAGATGCTTTGAAAGTAACTTAAGTTTATAACTCTCGAACTGCAGAAGCTAAAGATACAAAACTTTATACTTTCGCATGCAAAATAAGTTAAAGAAACAACATGACGGATTTCTATGCAAGTTCAGCGGTCCACCTAAGCAACTAGAGCAGTTTATAGCAAAAATGTTTACTTGAGCTGCTCTTCCGGTAATCGCTTTTATCTATTTTTACCCATTCTGCGGTTCACCTGTGCTGGGACAAAAAATTTCAGATATTCGGTAACGATAAGTGATCATTTTTTTTCAGATCGCCGCTTACATGAAAGATCCGCACCCACAGATTTGGCCTGAATTATGCGAAATGATTGGCGTTGGTGTACAAATTGATGCAACCACCGCTTCTAACCGGATTTACCTACTACGTTCAGCTCTTGAAGTGGACGCACCAAGTTGTATTAAGGTACCAAAAATTCAGCTTTTTAAAAGGATGACCTGCGCTTGGTATTTTAAAAAGAAAGCCAAATAACCATCTTTTACAGCACCAGCCCCAGGTATGTCTGCATAGCGATACAATGTCGTTAAAAATCCTTGGAGGATGAGTTCGATCATAACTTCTCCTCGTCTTGTTCTGACGGGTACGGCGCAGCTGGAGAGTGCGAGTATGGGGCAACGGGAAGAGAGATGCCGCTGTACAAGTGGTCGGGAGCTCGATCCCTCTGCCGGGGAACCAGTTCCTCTACATTTTGCCCGTTCGTTTCGGTAATAAACTCTGGTGCTAACGCATGCCAGTAAGTCAAATACACCATCATTTCGTTTGTAAATTTATTGTGAATGTTGCTTTTCTGGCTCAGATAGCTACGACATTCTTTGTCTTCGAACGGGTGAAATGTGGTGAAATGGGGCGAAATGCGGGCGAAATACGGTTCTGCGGTGTTTCCCCTGCATTTTCGCATCAAAAACCATTTTTTGTCATTTCCACCACGCTGTTTATTGATTCTTGGCCCTTCTACCTTATCACGACAGGCACTGCTTTTCTCCAAGTTGTGTTATTGTGAACACATTATACAAACAAAATTTGACGTATTTTAGGAAATTGCCCTAAAAGCCATAGCAGGTTGCATCGCTACATATACATGTGAAGCAACAGCGCGGATGGTGTATTCGGAAATAGATAACAACAGAATGAAGACTAATGCGCTTCTAAAATTATTTGAGGAATATGTGACCGATACAGTAAGTTTATACTTGTGTTATGCTTGGAAATAGTAGGACAGGACACTTCTTGGTGCCACATTCTAAATAATTTAACGGTCCAATCATATAACGCCTTTTTCAAATTAATTACAGGCACATCTAGATGAAAAAGTATCTCGGCATGCAGATTTCTGTCCTTTCGGGCAATGGAAATTCAGAATTACAAAATTTATGAAGATGGAAATTTTGAACGTATAATGCCAGGCAAAGCGGGAGTCTAAAAACATGAAAAGTCCTCATAATTCTCCTGTCTCCTGAAATAAATGCAGGTGCCGCTGTTACTTACTCCCATTTACTACCGTAAGCATCATCAAAACCCACATCTTTTCTTGCAATCACCTCTGAGAAGAAATTGTACAGTTTTCGGAGCATACTTTCAGGTCGCGTATAAGGCCCAAGCGTAGGAAAAACCAGTACCCTTTTTTACTTTTACGAATTCATTAAGAATTTCTTTTATGCGTTAAAATCAGGTTTATGAATCAAAAACAATAAAATTAAAAGAAATTTTTTGAGAGGTTAATTCAACAAATATTTCGAAATAATTGATTTTAATTCAGTTCACAGTTCTGTTATACCTTGCTCGTGAGCACAACTTAAAATTCAAGCTAACTTTGTAATTAGAGGGCCAAAAATTATTTTTTTAAGGGATTAATTCTTCACATTCGCGATATATATATTCTTTGGGTATTTCATTCTAAGCCTTACTTTGTCCTGGCCTCTCGCTCCAGATCTATTACACTTGCACTCTTCAGCATTAATTTTTTCGAAAATTGAAAGTTACTTGCCTTGCCATGAATTTTTAAATTTATGCACGGTATATGGGATCTTCTTACTTCTCGTGTGTCTTTCAAAAATTTTCATGCAAAAAAATAAAAATTTGAGAAGTCAGGCACAAAAAAAAAGTCAGTTTCAGGACGATAAACTATGTACAGCAGCCGTGTCAGGCATTTGTCGAATGTTGAATCAAGGATTGCACATGTTTCCATCTGCTCTCTGCTGCTGCCTTTTGCGTTACTTCGACCAAGCGTGTCCACCTCGTGCATATGCTAAGCTAAAAAATTTTTTCGACCTTTATCCGACGTCGGATGAGTAAGAGTAGTAATTTTAATGGAAAACTCATCGATAAAAAATAAAAAGAATTAGAAATAAAAATAAAAGAAAAAATAAAAAGAATTAAAATACCTTATTTTATGACCGCTTGACATTTGGAAGTTTGGGCGATAAATGAGCAGTTGAAAAAATCATACTTAGTTCTTCATTTTGTGGTCATTTATTAGTTTTCTCGATGATTTTACTCGGCCCGTAATTTACCTTATTGAAAAACTATCTAAACATTTCCGTTGTATCTATTAAGACTGGGTATTTTATGCTGCATTTTTTGAATGTCGAGGCCGCCATTACGATCTTTTCGCCATTACGATCTTTTCGGATGAAGCGGAGGTGCTTTTAAATACGAAGCAAATATATACTACGTGTTTGGGCAAATTCTCGATCGGAGTAACTGTTGTTTGTATTTTGACCATCATTTGTTAATACCTAGCGTCTATCGGCAGGCAGCAAACCATGAAAAGCGTCTTACACGGTGGCATTGACTTCTTTTTAATCCTTCCCACCTCTCATTTAAGACCGGTACTTTTAGTTTAATAGTAGTACTAGGGAGGCAATTTTCTTGGTTTGTTCTTCTGATGACATTGACGCTATTGTCAGATTTCATTAACTGGTGGCTTCCACTGAATAGTTTTCAGCTGTGAATCGAACGCACAATTTAGCTTTAATCAGCCTAGGTGGATGTAGATCTTAACCTCGTTCAGTTCGCGCCACCTGTTCGCGATTTAGCCTGGAAATCTCAGCGTTTTGCATCAGTTTCTTTTTCAAAGTGTGAATTTCCAGATTCATTTTTATGCGTTTTTGCCGTGCAGCGCTAGAGCGCTGCAACCGGCAAAAAAAACGGATATTGCAACGACCCTGCCATTGTGTGTGTGTGT